TATATAACAGCTGAAATAATATCTGATTAAATAAGATATTTTGCCACCCCAACATGGGAGGGCAATAAACATCTTAAAGTATCAGAAACATAAATTCCCATTAAATTCCCATAAATTCTATTCCTGGGAATAGAAAAAAACTATAGAATCTCAACATAGGGATTCTATTCACTTTGATTTTGTCTTCCATTACACAGCAAATGCTATGTTGCTGTCTTAATGAAGTTTTATATAAAATATAAAATAAATAGGCCTATCTGTTAAAAAATTTTGTATGATGCTGCAAATATGAGGACGGATAAGGTTCCAGAAAACTGTAGTGCTCATAAAAATAATAGTCTCTTCTAGCCAGGCTGCAGTTTTCTCCACTGCAGGATACCGGAGCTCTGCTGATCCTGTATTTACTAGATGTTTTAGAGTTTGTGCTTGTTGTTTTCCATTTATACATCCACTGATAAGTTCACAAATCTTGTTTAACTTTAAGGGACTTATTCAACTATGTTGATCACGCAAAAACATTCCTTTAAATCTCTGAGAATATTTTGTAGTTTTTCTGAATATTTTAGTAAAAAAAATTTATATTTTTCCATTCCTTCATTCTGTCTGTCATGAACTTGGTGCTGATGACTGGCTTGACTGACTGACAGAATAATATGGCCATCAGCAGATAGTGTCATTTGGATGTAGAAGAATGTATAACTCAACTCGAATCAGACATACAGGAAATCCTAACACATTCGCGTAATCAGGCTACTACTGCTCCCACACATCCACCTATGACAGCGTCAGCGTCTATGTCACCTGTTGTCAGATCAGATTGTCAAGAGCCGCATCTGTTTCCCTTGAACTGTTTAAGGCTGACTCTGATCAATGTCTGGCTTAACTGATAAAGCAACGTTTTTAGGAACTTCTGAATAGCAAAACAGTTATATTTTGGAGCCACTAGTGCTTTTTTAAAAGAAATGATCCGGTTTTCTGCCCAGTTCTTCCCAGAAGGGAGTTTTCTAGAGGACTTCTGCCTCTTATACAAGGAGAGTGATCTGTACTGGAATATACAGAATACACCCTGCTTTATCAGGCTGCTCTCCTGTGGAACCAACTACTGGTTAAAGTCCATGAGGCAGACACCCTGTGTACTTTTAAGGGTAGGATTAAAACATTCCTTTTTGATAAAGCTCATACTTAGAGTGGCTCAGGTTATCCTGAGCTATCTCTATAGTTATGCTGTTATAGGCTTAGACTTCTGGAGGACATAGGGACCCCTATTTTATCCTTCTGCTTCATTCTGTCTCTATTCTCCCACGCTGTAGAACCTGTTAGTTCAATCTCCAATGTTATGCTCTCTCTGCTTTTTCTCATAGTAGCTTTGCCTCGCCTCTTCCTGTTTGGCTGTGACACCATCCTGGTGAGAAATATCAGCTTTCTTCATGTTAAAAGGTAGTTTTTCCTCTCCATTGTTGCTACAAGGATGCTTAGTGTGAGGGATTGCATTCAAGTTGATGCAATCAACTGGGTTTCCTTTAGATACAAAACTTTGAATCAATTTGACTGTATGATCTAGTGAACTGTAAAGTGCCTTGAGAGGACATGTGTTGTGAATTGGCCTATATAAATAAATTGAATTTAAATTGAATTGAAATTGAATTGAACCACACCAGACTTTCTGTCTCCTAAGACCTTCTGCTTCCTGTAACTTTGTCAGTGACTTCTTGAAGTCATAACCTGTCTGCAGTGTTGGGCAAGCTACTTGTCCAGTGTAGTGAGCTAAGCTATCAGTTACTCAACAATAAATTAAGCTTCACTAAACCAAAGCTACCACCTAAAGAATTATAGCAAGCTAAGTTACACTAATGTGTTAACAGTAGCTTAACTACATCAGAAGCTACTTAACGTT